CTTTCCCAAGGATGACAAAGGGAACTGAACGGCAGAAGAAAGCCAGGTGTGGGCTTCTCAGCAGCTCCTGCCCACAAATTGGCAGCAAGGGGGCCCTGCTGGAAGCCTGGTGCTTGGCACAGCACAGCAACCTCCAGAAGGGAGGGTGGAACTACCCGGCCACTCTGCTTCTAGTGTGATTAGGAAGGGCTTCCAAGGCACCCAGTCACTTGACACGATTAATGCTGTTATTCTTGGGGAGGGGGGTCATTAAACTAAAGGATGACAGAGGGAGCCAACAGAGTGGCTTATTCACTTGGGTTCTGAATTATGATCAGGAAATAGTCTTTACCTGTACATCCTTTATTTCATTTTTCTTGGAGCAAATTCAGAGTAAATTGAGGTCATTCAGGGGTCAGTTTTACGCACAGTGCTCTGTGCCTTCACCGTGAAGTTGTGCATTATGTTGGTGTGCTGTGTGGTGGTGGGATTGTCCATGGTACTCTTGACAGAAGTGTCTTCTGTGTTCACCATGATAATTCCTTGTACTCCTTTTTTGCTTGAAGTTGTTTCAGTGTCTCTTCCACCTGTGCTGTCTCTGGTCGATCCAGCAGCTCCTGGAGTCTTTTTCTAAGACTGCAATTATCTTCTCTAGGACACTGACAACAGACTGCTAATCATAAGGCACAAGCCATCAGTAACTTTTTTGATGAGTTTTCCATAATTAGTTTTACCATTTGGACTTGGACTTACAATCTTAAAATTTCGATTTTAGCTTTAAATTATTGATTTGATTAGGTTCACTCAAGCATATTGCTTAAAAAAGTATTTACTCAGTATAGTATTTTAGGTTTCTTCTTTTTCACTTGCTTAAAAAGCTTGTTCAAAAAGTAATCTGTTATAATTGTTGTGCCTTTATAAAAGATCTTTAAATATAGTTATAATTTTTCCTTCATATTAGTGTTGGGCAGAGAGGAGCTGGTCTTTCAGCCACCATTGCTAGGAGTGAGCATGAGATTTCAGAAATTATTGATGGACTCTCTGAACAGGAGGTAAGAAAATAAACTGATTTAATTCAAGTTGATTAATAAATTAATATAAAGCATTCATTCTTTTTAATCCAGGGCTTCCTTATATGTAAATTAGGGAATTTTAGGTGTTGAATTTTGGATTATTCCAGAGTTTGTAGCCAAATGATTGAAGGTTATTTATTTATTGTGGCCAGCTCAGCCTGCCCTGAGGCTGGTGTGGCATATGATGCTGGGGATTGAACTTCCATCCCTGAGCTTGCCTAAACTTGCTTAAGCAAGTGCTTTAGACTGCTGAGCTATCTCGCTGACCCCATTAAAGGTTTTTTTTTTTTTTTTTTTTTTTTTTATTTGGTTGCTACGAGTTCTTACAATGCAGCGTTTGCTAGTGGTAATCTTCCTGCTTTCAGTTTCCCCAGTGCTGGGATTACTGTTGCCCACCGTGGGGGCAGATCTGGTGTGGCATGTGGTGCCAGGGACCGAA